CAGACCCCGCTGCCCGCCTCGCTCCCCCCGGCTGCCCTCGTCCTGGAATCGCACTGCGGCCGCCGCTTCAACTCCACCGTCTCCGGTCTCTGGCGGCGTTGCCACCGCGCGGGCTTCGAGCCCGAGAGCGAAGAGCTGATCCGGAAAGGTGCGGAGGGAAGGAGGGAGGGGGGGAGGGAGGGAGGGAGCAGCGGGAGAGAGGTCTTGCGCCCCCTGCCAGGGGCGCGCTCGGAGATGCCTCGCTCTGTCCAAGGTGCTGAATCCGCAGAGCGCCTTTCCCCACCCTCCAAGGAGGGAGGGCGAGGCCTTCAGGGCTTCGTTCTTCGGTTGCGCTGGGAGACCGAGGGGGCCAGGTCGTTTCTTTCATGGTTCTGGCGCCCCGTTTGCCCTCCCCCAGTGAAGTACAGGTAGCGGAAGGCCTTGAGGCCTTTCCCCTCATGGAATGGTTACAAAGAGGCCCAGCAGGAGCTGATGGTAGCATCGACTTTTCAGAATAAAATTATTTGTAAAAAGGGTAGTTCTTCCCAGCCGCCCAGGATCTCCAGCATCTCGTTTCTCTAGGGTTTAGAGCCAATTCATATAAACGCTGTTCTGTGTATGCGAATAATCCCAATTATTCTCTTTCTGCATTCCCATGATTAGCATAGGACCAACTAGCTGATAGAAAATGCACTTGGCAATGGTTTCTGCCATTGCAGAAGCTGCTTGACATATTTCTTCATGTGGGTGTGTTCTTCTATATGCACAAGGATACATCCACTCATATGTGAACTGGATTATGTTGTATGCACTCTCTCAAAGAAAAATGTTCTTTTGAAACATAGTCAAAAGATGTTTAAGTCTCTGCTTGTCTCTTGCTTTGTTCTCCTGGCTAGTGGACATAACTTGAGTGATGAGCATGGGGCTGTGCTGTGTGCTCAATGAGCACCCTAGGTTTTGGTATGCTGTTGTCCTAAATGAAAACTTATTTGGATTTTCCAGCACCTACACTTTGAGGATTACACATTACAGTGCCAAATTGGAAATGTAGGCATTTGCCAAGTTGCCATGTTTTCATTGACATTGTCTAGTTATGACAAGCCTGTCTGACCATGATGGGTGCCACAATTGCCGTTTGGAGTATTTCCTGCCCTGCTATAAGTCACTGTGAGCCTACCTCTCCTGATACTTAGGCTAAACTTTTTGTGTGGCTGATGTCTGGTGTGCCACCTTCTGGCATGAAGTGCTAGTCTTCTTGATGTGTGTTCAGGAGCTAATAATAGAAAACATTTGTTATTTGTGCTACTCAGATTAGACATCCATTATCGTCATTATGCCACAGACCAAATGCTAGGAGTGTAGAACTTATTTTGTAGTACCTGAGGTTCAGACCATTCCTAGGTGATCTTCTTTGCCTGTGAGAGTAGTAGAAATTGCAGCAGTGGTCCTAGTAACAATGAGTTGTATAATATTCTAATGTAGGTAACAGGAGATGGTTAGCCATTCAAGAATGCCTAAGAATGGCTAAGCAGTAGAAGAAAAATCACTGACAGCAACTGTAGATTTTTAGTCAAGATGTTATTAAAATATAGACAAGAGAAACATCTGCCTTGTTGTTCTATGAATCATTAAATAATAATTAAAGATACTTATTTACTTAATTTATATCCCACCATTTCTCCCCACCAGGAACCCAGATCAGTTTATATCATACTCCTCTCTTCCATTTTATCTACAACAATCCTATGAGGAATTTTAGGCTGAGAGCAGGTGATTGGCCCAAGATCATTCAGTGAGCTTCTGTGAAAGAGCGGGGAGTCAAACCTGGGTTTCCCAGATTCTAGTTGGATGCTCTAACTACTACGCCACACTGCCTCTCATACATGGCATCTGGATGATAATTTAAGGCAGGATCTAGCTCCAAAAATCCTTTTTCTGTATGTTGTATTTTCTCTGTAGATAGCTGATCTTCTGTATCTACCTCTGTATCATATAGCTGTGGCTTTTCTTTATAGAATCCATTTCAAAATAATCAGCTGCTTTTTAAATTTAATCCAGTAGGATGCATTTTCTACTTTTCAAGGTTTCCATGTTGACTTTATTTCATTAAAGGGCATGTCATTTATTCATTTTATTAATTGGTACTGTTGTGTATAATGTTATTTTCCATTTCTGCGGTTCTCCCTCCTCCCTTTAGGCCAAAAGCTTTCTGGTCCCACTGATTTTACTAAATGGATTTAACGTATAGTGTTTTCAATCTCAGCATTGCTTTCAGGATACTTTTCCACACCCCACCCCCAGTTTTGAGGCTTTGCTGAAAGTTAATTCCTGCAGAAAAGCAGAGCCACAATCCAGGGCAGAGTTAGATGGTCATGAAACTCATGGGCTTTATTATACCTTTGTGTTGGGTTGTGGGCCCCCAACTCTACTTGGGTTCATTTTTTGTCATAGATTGGAGAGGTGGTTACCAATGCAGGGCAGAGTTGCTCCTGCCATATTAGTCTCCGTATTCATCAACTTCTGCCATAATTATGGCGTTCTATACAGGGATACATTTGAACATCAGGCGGATGAAAGAGAGGTTTCTTATCTTGCTGACTCTTTCTGGATTCTTTAGTTCAGTTTTTCCATATTTTCACATCATCCTATTTCCCTATAATTTCCAGAATAAATGAGAAAGTGTGTGTGTATGTGTGTATGCTCTTCTCATTAGGACAATGTTTGCCAAATGTCTAATAGTTGAGGCACACTCTTTTTCAGAATTAAATGCAAATGGACATTTATATATTTTAAAAAGCTTTCGTTTTAGAGTATATAAAAGTAAGAACATTCCTTTAGAGGATCCTGGGCACCCCTCCTCTGAGAACACATAATCTTGCTACAACCTTACATTATGAGCGACTGACTAATCCAAACTGTTTGGAAAAAGGCAAGGCTGGAGCATGTATCATGCAGAGATGCAGTGGACAGCTCCTCTGTGGGTAGGTTCTTTATTGTGTGACACATAAGCATTTTTTCCCCTTGATGTGCAGTATTGCCCCTGGGCCAGCCTTTGGAATTCTGGACCTGTGCCTATGATTCTGATGCATACCACTGAGGTGTCTTTTTAGAAGCTGTACCCATGGTCACTGTAGATTCAACCATCTTTATATATTCCTCCTATTATAAAGTAATGCATCAGGTTTCTATGATAATTCCCATTTGTAAAAACCCACCAAAGGTTAATTGTTAAATGTTGGATATATATATAAAATCAGGAAGGGGGAAACATAATTTTCCTCACTCATTTTAATCAAGCCCACAAAACTGAGTCAACTCTTTTAATAATATTGCTTATATAACATTCAGAAAGGAAAGAGAGGTCTACAAAGGAAAATGAACTGGGATTAGAAAGGCCCAGTTGGGATATGTACTATTAATATTAAAATAAGTTAACATAAGCTGCTGTTCCCTAGTCTTCTGAAAATGATGGTGGTGTATAGAAAACAATGATGCCATTTGGCTTGGCTAGTGGCTAGAAGAACTGATGGTAATATCATTGGAATAATGTATGAAAATATATAAGACTTCTTTAAACTGAATCAGACCATCACCTATTACCTGATCCTTTCATCTGGAGATGCCGAGGATTGAATCTGGGATCTTCTGCATGCCAAATAAATGCTCTGGCACTGAGCCACAACTCTTCCACTTGTGTAGAAGAGTTCTGGGAGGGAGGAAAGGTGCTAACATGAGATGTGAGATGAATTCAAAGAAGAACTGGAATGTGCAGTGCACTGAAATTATGAGATAAACATTAAACTCATACCTTGCCTACACTGTTGTTTGGTTCCCTAACATTTTCTAGCTCAAAATATCTCACAAAAGGCCACAAGTGGGCAGATTTAATGGGAGGACTTCATGAAATAGGTTGTAGACAAGGAGTCTTGCGATTAATAGATATTTTGTGGCAGGGGTGTCAAACTCATTTGTTATGAGGGTCGGATCCGACATAAATGAGAGCTTGTTGGGCCAGGTAGCAGAGATATGTAATGCCAGGTAGCAGAGATATAAACTTTATAAAGGACACAAACACAAAGGTGTTTTTTTATTAAAATAAAAACATGCTTAAAACATTAGCACTTGCAAGATTTTGTTTATTTAACAGTGTCTGATAACTGATACCTCTTGCTCTGAATTATTGCATCAAAATGTCTGTGTTGTTGCAATCTTGAGTATGCTGTTCAGGTGTATATCTGTAAGCTGCAAACCTATGATGACATAGCAGCAGCAGAACTGGAAGAAGAAGCAGAAGACAACCAGTTCCTCTGCGGGCCTGATAGAAGCCCTCCGGGGGCCTCATCCGGCCCCCAGGCTGCATGTCTGACACCCCTGTTTTGTGGCATCAGGTTTCATGGCCAAGAGCCTGCTTCATCACATGCCACTTTATCAGGCTGTAGCCAAGTCACACTTGAACGGTGATTCAAGAGATCCCAGCAGTGGAATCACAATGCCAGTTCAAATACTTCTTTTCCATTTTTATTTAGCTAATTTTTTTTGGTGAATTTCAAATCCCATTTAACCTGGTCCCCTTTTTCTCCATAGCAGAAATCATGATGTGTTGACTAACCAGTTCCCACCCATTATAACCAAGACCTTTGTTTTGGCAAATCATATATACATTACAGTTCCTGTTTATGTGATACAGTGTTTTAAAAACAACAAGGCTAAGGCTTCTTCTGTATGGTAGGTTTGCTTTGCCTCAGCTCCCCAATGGGAGCTGGGGTGTCTGTGGCTGTCCTGCCATCACCTTTTGTGGTTTCTCACAGTCTGCTGCTCTGATCTCATTGGAAATATAAGAGCCAAATCAGATTTCCTCACCCTATGGACAGGAAGGTCTGGATTTCCAAACTGCCACACCCACATTGCTCACCATTTCCCTCCCAATCCCCATTTTCCTGAAGCTTTTTTTTTTTTTTAAACAACAGTAGGAACCTTGCTATACCAGTTTAGCGATATATCTAGTACCAATAATTTTTAAAGCTGACGAAAATTCCTCTGGTGGTGGAAGTAGGGGGGTGGGATGAACGGATGGCAGTGCAAGAGCTCCTATCTGGTGGAACGAGCTCCTGGAGGAGACCAGGGCCCTGCGGGACCTTATGCAATTCCGCAGGGCCTGCAAGACGGAGCTCTTCCGCCAGGCTTTTGAGTAGGAGTCGCCACTGCCACTATACCATCACCGCGTTGCCATCTGGCAATGTGAACTAGCCTGGGAATGAGAACAGACATGGGGAAGACCGATCAAGAATGAGACAGTAGCGCCACCTGAAACATTGTATTACAGCCCCCGTGAGCACTGATTTTAAATGTAAAACGTAACTTTACTGTTTTATTGGTTTTACTAGCAGTAAAGCCCGTTGTGAAAGCAATACAACGAGATCTAGAAAGAGGCTCTGGGGCAGTGCTCTGGCTTTGGGCAAACAGTGTCAATTTGCTGTGGTGACCTCAGCAGGGTATAATGACAGAGTCCACTGTTTTCTCCAGAGGAACTGATCTCTGCTACCTGAAGAGCAGTTGTAATTGTGAGTAATCTGTAGCCCTCACCTGGAGATTGGCAGCAATTGTTACCCAGGACAAAATGGCTGGTTTGGAGGGTGGAGTCTATGGCATTCTACCTGTCTGAGGTCCCACCCCTCTGCAAACCCCACCCTCTCCAGGCTCCACCCCTCAAATCCCCAGGAATTTGTCAGCATGTAGTTGGCAACCCCATCTCCTTCCCAGCTAGCCACCAACCTACCATTATCTGCCCCTTTGACTTCAGCTGACTTCTGCCCTCCCTTCTGCAGAGCAGTTGTAATACTGAGTGCTCTCCAGCCCTCACCTGGAGATTGGCAACAATGGTTCCCTATGTGGGACTGACTGGTTTGGAGGGTGGAGTCTATGGCAGTGTACCTGTCTGAGGTCCCACCCCTCCTCAAACCTCACCCTCTTCAGGCTCCATCCCTCAAATCTCCAGGAATTTCCCATCTGGAGTTGGCAACCCTATCAGGATTGGCCCCAATGTGTTTTCTCCCAAAGGCCAAAGTAGGTGACAGGACCAAGCTTAGTTGCCTACCAACCTACTCTGTCGATAAATTGCAACAGTTTGAATTAGCACCAAAGCTTTAAGAGCTCTCCAGCTGTCACCTGGAGACTGGCAACAGCTTGTCTGGAGTGTGGGCAGTATGGCATTGTATCTGTCTGAGGTCCCCCTCTTCCTCCTCTTCCTCCTCAGACCCCACCCTCAGCAGGCTTCAACCCTATGTCCTTTCCAGGCAACCATCAGCCAACCTTTATCTGCCTGTCTGTCTTAAGTTTTACACCCCCCCCCCCAGCCTCTGCCTAGGGAAAGGGCAGTCTTTCCCTGCAGTGGGAACCAAAGCAGCTGACATCATTCTCCTCTCCCCCGTATGATCCACACAACTACCCTATGAG